ATGTTTGGGAAGTAGAAGATGGTCCTGCTGACAAAGAAGTCGGTTCAAGGTAGACAGTTAGAAATGCACAGACAAGTTTTAACTATGCTATGTTCCTCTCTCAAATTCTGTCAAATTCAACGTTCCCTACCTACCTGCCTGCCACTACTCCTTATAGGCTATACAGGGGACCGCAGCGAGCATACCTACCTCTCACGGTGAAGTGGATATCGCATGTTGCCCCTTGCCCTAGTGGTCGCGGGTGCAGGGTTGGGGTGCCGAACGTCACACAAAGACCGAGCGAGCGATTTGCCAGTAGCTGCACCTCCCTTTTCGTTTTTCCTCGCCCCTATCAAGTAACAGCAGCGTCTAAGGCCAACGCTCTCCCACACATCACAGACAACCCACTCACACTCACACTCACACTCACACTCACACCTCACACTCACACCTCACACTCACACCCGGGTTGGCCAAAGAACCTACCGATACCGACCAGGGGGATCAACGTGACCATCTCAGCTGGTTGGCACCAAGCCTGTCATGACGATTGAACCCACGACCTCCTGGATTCCACTCCCGTGCCTAACCAATTGAGCTCGGCTCTTCATCTTTCTTTCAACTAGGCGGTCCCAGGTGAATTCAGAGTCGGCTTCACTAATATGGTTCCGTTGGCATTCAGACTCACATCTGTATCTCAACAGTTCATGGGTGTACCAACTGAGGGCATACTATCCCTACCACTATTTTACTTGTTTCGAGGCGGGATTGCGGACAGATGCGTACAGGTCTTGCCGTAAATGCGGTCAGATACATATAAGATAGTGCTAGTGTGAGTACGCCCTGCGCTAGGCCAGATGCTACGGAGGACGACTTCTCTCTCTCCAAAAGATTTCTAGTTGTCTTTCTTCGAAGTCGCACGGCTTGGGAGGCCTATGTACTCTTAAGGCCTTATTTACTTTGGCCTTTTTCACAGCGCCAAAGCTGTACCTCCAATAATCCTCCCCCATCTTAAACGGGTCGCGGTCACCCATCGACTCCTAACCTGGCCATGGCCCTGGGCCAGAGCCAGCTTGTGAACAATGGCACAATAGGGACCCCGAGGGAGGACTTCGAGGTTTCAAGCATGCAGCAATAAAGAGCAAAACTTGAAAAAAAAGACTCAGCGTTCCGGGCAGGAGAAGAGAGAGCACGTGTACAATGCAGTAGTAGTAGTCCTCAGGTCAGTCTGTGCTCGCAAAAGGAAGAGAACCATCACTCTTGGCCACAAGAGCCAAGTCTATTAACCACTACAACCAGGACACGGTGTGCAAAAGTGGAACGATAGCGGTCGCGATATCCATGCCACTGCCGCAAGGGTCTAGCGTCTAAGTCCCACACACCGCACACAACACCACACGGACGTAGCAATTCTCGCACCCTTCGCTCCAATCAGCGGGTGACTGCCACTGGTACATCGCACGGTCACTCAAGCAGGACTAAACCTGCCCGCAAATTCCACGGGAGCTTTCAAGAACAGTTACGGATCCATAAATCTGGGCCTCTAGGCCTTCCATGCATGCACACACGGAAGCGAACCGCCACCCTTGGCAACAAGAGCCAAGTGTCTTAACCACTACAACCACGGCGCGGTAAAAAGTGGAACCATACCCGTCATGGTATTGACCCCACCCCTGCGTGGCGGTGGTGACCAACTCGCACACACCAGAGTGTCATCACTGCCAGGCAAGCGACAGCAAGCACAGCATAAACACATATCAATTGAATGGGTACCACGGTTAATCCACTGCCACATTTCATAACGGTCCCTGGTTATCGGGGAGGCCTGCACGCCGTCACGTTCACTCAAACTTGGTTAGTTAGATCGGAGAGATCTGATGGCAGCATATTCTTTGTCCTTTCTGAGAGACCTGATGGCAACATATTCTTTGTCCTTTCTGCCGTTGGGACTACTTTCAGTGGGTACACAATCATCTTGCAATTCTGCAGACACATGAATTCTCACAACTCTTGAACTACCGTCTTCACCCGAATAGAACGCCCGGTCATTATAACTGCATCTGGACTGAACTTTGCCCCAAATACGTCTATAATGACCGGGCGATTTCTTCGGGTGAAGACGGTAGCTCAATCAAGAGTGTGTGCTCACATTAAGACATTTTCCCCAACTGATTTGTGGACGGAACGGCAGTCAGGTGCATTAAGGACGGTCCATAATTACAGTCAGATCCACGGAGGCATATTCCTTTTTTCCCCCTTTCCTTGGTCTCTAGCTCAGTTGGCAGAGAGCACGAAAGCTGCATTCAGGAGGTCCTGGGTTGGAGTCCCCCCTTCTTCCATTCGAATTCCCACGGCCTTTTCAGGCGTGCTGCGGATTCACCAACTGAGATAGTCGGCTCGTCCCCCCTGGTTGTTGATTGGTAGGGGGGAATAGCCCCTTCCAGTCATTGCCAGGGGTTAGCTGCAACCCTGAGACGACAGGCTCAACCAATTGCCACGAGCGTACTGCGCCTTCGGCACATAGATGTGGGGTTTGATATGTGTCCGTAGCCTGGTATTGTCCCGGGGTAGTCGGTCGCCTGGTATTGCCCCAGATTTGGTTAAGACCCTTGCTTGTCGGGTTTTTGGCTAGACCAGTGCACAGATAACGGAGGTCTCGATGCTAGATGACTAGAGAACATAGGGTAGGTGGGCCTAGCTACGGTTATTGAAAGAAGAAAAAGGGGTGGTAAATACACCTATCACCCATATATGAGGAGAAGACAGCTGTATTTGAAAAAAAAAAAAAGGGTGCCTCGTATTGCCCCGGATTTGGTTAAAAGTCTTAAGAGTCAAGACCCTTGCTTGTCGGGTTTTTGGTTAGACCAGTGCACAGATAATGGAGGTCTCGATACTAGATGACTAGAGAACGTTGGGTGGGTGGGCCTAGCTACGGCAGTGTGAAGTTGACACGATATTGAGAGAAGAAAATGGGGTGGTAAATACAGCTATCACCCATATACGAGGAGAAGACAGCTGTATTTAAAAAAAAAAAAAAAAAAGGGCAACAGCCTTGAGATAAGTTCATTGAACTGACTGGCCCCAGGGCATTCAGAATTATTTTCATCCATGCGTCTGGATTCGAACATAGGTCTGCATGTCAGCAAGTCATGGGTGTACCAACTGAGTTTGGGCCGTTGGTGCGGCATGTTCGTTTTTTCTTGTCTTTCTCTTTTTTTTTTAAGGCATTTCCTACTGCGAGAGATGGGTCCTCTGTCCATTACTCACCAAATGTCAGCACATGAGAATGAACCTTCCACTATAACATGGAAAGATGCACTGCCATGTTTATTTTTATGTGCCTGTGGTGAGTGGTGGATTGAGGCCCATCCTCTCAGAATTTACAACCAGTCAATAGAAGAAAAAGAAAAGGGAACTCGACAACACATGACGAAGCAACCACCTTCTTCTTCAGGCAGCCTTTGAAAGTCAGTCGAATGGAAACAGATCATGGGATCAAATCCTGTTGGATACAAAAGTGCTCGGACCTACCGCCTTAAAAAAAAAAAAAAAAAAAAAAAAAACCAGGAAGCAATCAACTCTCCTTCAGACAGCCATCGAATGTGGAATTGCAATGGAGAACCTTGGTGGCATGGACGCACAAGAAAGACGACACATAAGCTTGATGTATGGCCAAATTTTAAACGGAAAACGAATGGTACGTTGGGACAACTCTACATGCGAACAATATAACAAAGGGATGAAAGTTATCATGAAACTCACAAGAGGGCAACATGCAACCCCGGAATTGTGAAAGGTAGGTATGTTTGCACGGGTCCCCTGTATAGGCTTAGGAGTAGTGATAGGTAGATAGTGAAAGGTGAAATTGAGAGAAGAAATATATAGCATACTAAGCATAGTTAAAAAACAAAAAAAATGGTCCGATTAAAAATTAAAAAATAAATAAAACGAATGAGACCAGATCAGTAGACCGGCAAGATAACAGGAGCGTGGGGCTTATGAGAGACATGAGGGCTGGCTTTTGGGAGATGCAAGGGGCATAAAGAGCGAGGATGACTAGTGTGCTGATAAGCGGCGGAGGGACTGTTGGGACCCGATACCCCTCCCCCGCCTGTGCCCTGCCCTACTCGGGGATTATCCTGCTGCGTGCCTGGGTGATGCTAGCAAGCTTCCCGACCTGCAAGGCAATCCCTGAGGCAGGGCTATGGGCTCGGGCTGGGGTGGCCCGTAGCAGCCCCCCTTTGCTCAGGCGGCTCGTGCCACAAGGGCACGGCTAATTCTTTCCCCTTTCTTGTCTTTTCTCCCTCATTGCTTGTAGAACATGCTTGCCGGTGATAAGCAACTGGACTGATGCCCCCCCCCCCCCCCCCCCACCCACACACACACAAAAAAGATAGCGGGCAGCGCTCTCTTATAAAAAAAAAAAAAAAAAAAAACTCCACCCGGGCTTCTACTAACTGAAGTCTAAATTTCACTGCCTGTGAATAGATCCAAATCCCAAATCCTGATAGATACAAAAAATGTTAGGAGTCTTAGGACCAACCACCCCTTTTTTAAAATTAAAACAAAAGAAGAAAATAGGTAGCCATGAATGTCAGCATGTCTGTTATACGAGGTCACCGATGAAAACGCCGCATTCCCTTGGAAGACAGCACACCATAACTGATATCCACCACTTTTCAGGGTCTTGCGACACCTCCCTAGCTTGATGCTCATCACAATCAGTCTGCAAGCATGTGCGGACAGAAAGAGAAAACAAACTTCCCGCAGGCACAGTTTCTGAAACACTCCAAATTTGTCCGTATCACATTGATTCTGCAAGCAAAGAGGTTCTTCATGTGGATTACCTACCACCATAGCTCCGCTTCGTGATGAATGTGTTTGCGATTCATTGCCGCTCTGCACTGCTGTCCGTATCGCATCACTCAATATTGCCACGATTCCCGTTCCCGTGTCGCCCATTGGAGCTGCAGATTTTTGTCGAGACGAAGCTCCAGACGCTGCCTCCGGTAATGGACCACCGCTTGCCGACAGGCCCTCCGCCTGCCCACCACCCGGTCCATCTTTCCATGAACTGGCACCTAATAGACTCTGCAGGGCTATGTTTCCCTCCACGCCGCTGGCTGCAAAGCTCTTTGAACTCGTGAGTCGTGCCACTAAGTCTGGATTCTGCAAGAGCATAGCCAGCAGTGGTGCATCTTGACCGCTGACCCCGTGCTGACCAAGGAGAGTCTCCAAACCGGAGCCGTCACTGCCACTAGCGCTCTCCATTTTCCGGTCTGCAGCGGCTGCATCAGAAAGTGCTGGACTCGCATTCGGCGGGGCCTCAGACGTGATCGTTGAAGGCTCTTCTGGTGGCCTGCTCGCTCCCGGTGTCGGTTCCGTACCCAGCTGCCCTGCCGCGGCGGCCAGAGGCGGCTCCGGTTCACTTACAACATCGGGAACAGCGGCCTCCCCTTGTTCGGGTTTGCCTCCCTCCGATGTGGCGGCGGATTCTTCAACAGGAACAGACTCCGCGTCATCTTGGAGCGCGGTTGGGTCAGTGACCGGTTCGCTCGCCGATAACTCGAGCTCCGACGGAATGATCGGGGTAAGCGACTCGTCGTAGTCGGCCTCCTGATCCCACGGCTCTTGCGCCACATCTGGCAAGTCCACCATGTTGGTTCCGCCGAAGAACTCCTCCTCCCGCCGTAGCCGCTCGTTCTGAACAGCCACCTCTTTGCTCTCCTCCCCGTACGCCACAAACCAAAGGTCGGAAAGCCGGACAACTGCAGTGCAAGCGTCATTCATACACATATATAGGAACAACGTCAGATCAAAAACCTCAAGGAAAGAAATGCTATCCATGTCTCTTATACACATCTAGATGTGTATAAGAGACAGAATCTTCTCTGTATCGTTCCAATTTGAACGGATGTACCAAAGGACACAAAACAACCGTCTTTCATGTTTTTTTAATATGCAAACTCATCCATTGAGTGCTATTTGTGTTTTACTGCCTTCATCACCAGAATACAACGTACGCCGTACGGTCATTATAGCTCTATTTAGAGAATTTTGGACTCAAAGTTGGCCCAAATACAGCTATAATAACCGTACGTTGTTTTTGGGTGAAGACGGTAGTTATATTGGAGTATCCTTGCCAATCTTCGCCGTATCTTTCCCATTTTACACCATAGCTGCATCCAAGGCCAAATGTCCGAGCCTAAGTTTGAATTGTCCCAAGCCTGAGAGCGACTGGTACCACTGCTTGGAAAACATTGGGGGTGGTACTGGTACCGCCGCCTGTGAACCGCCTGCTGCCGGCATCTTGGAACGAAAAGGCGGCGGTCATTTTCACTCGGACTGCCATCCCAGCTGACCTCTCCTCGAACCCGGCCCCTGTATCTGGCCTGGTTCGAATATATACACAGCCTAGAAGTAGGACTCACCAGATAACAAAGAAGAAAACAACAACGACAACAACAACAACAACAAAAAAAAAAACAAAAAAAAAAAACTATTTGGCTCATCGCTTGGCGGTCAAATGAAACGGTTGGGAACATTATGGGCCTCGCTCCACCACTCACCTATTTTGCAAAATCAGAACGAATCTTCCGCTAGAACATGGTCGTTAGTGAATGTGGAGAGTACTGGAGCAATGCCCAATGTCTCCTCAGTGTACTGTCTGGAGCCTGCCTAGCTTTGACAGGCGGGCGGAAAACACAACTAAGAGCCGGCCTAGCTGTGACAGGCGGGTGGAGAAGACGGCTAAGAGCCCGCCTACCGTCTTCACCCGAATAGAGTGCCCGGTCATTATAGCCGCATTTGGTCTGACTTGCAGTCTAGATGCGGCAATAATGACCGGCCGTTCTGAAGACGGTAGCTGTGACAGGCGGGCGGAGAAGACACCTAAGAGCCCACCTATCACAGCTAGGTGGGCGGAGAAGAGAACTAGGAGGCTTTCTCACCAAAGCTCAGGATGTGATTGCAATCAGATTCATTCTTCCAAGTCTGGCCCTAGTTGCATCTGACTGCAATTGTGGCCAGACCTGGACGAAGCTGACTGCAATCACGTCCACATCTTTGGTGAAAAAAAAAAAAAAAAAAAGATTCGTTATCAGCCAGTCAAAGATGAGGAAGTACTCACACCAGGGTGTTTTCTACAACACTCTGGACATGATTGCAGTCCGATTCGTCCAGGTCTGGCCGCAATTGCGGTCTTATGCAACTAGGGGCAGACCTGGAAGGATGAATCTGACTGCAATCCCGTCCAGAGCTTTGGAAAGAAAGTCTCTTGGTGTCCTCTTCTCTCTCCTCGCCTCTCACGGCAGGAGGTATGGGTAACGGGCTCCAGACAACACTGAGGGCGTACTAACACTAGAATGAGCTCACAAAATCGCAAAATGAGCGGCCAGATCGAGTGATTTTCAGGGCCTGGTGTGAGTATGCCCTGAGATTCTGAGAAAGGTAGTGCTGGTTTAAAAGACAAAAAACAGTATGGCACTAGAGACAAACATGGAAGTCGTATTTTCCTGAAACAAACCTTCGGGCGTTCTCCATGGAATCTTCTCTCTCTCCATAGCTTCTATGGCTGCCGCCATCTCCTCCAGCGACAGACGAAGAGGTGGTGACGTTTCCATCGGATCCTCCATGGAAGGCTCGATCTGAGCCTGTGGATCTGGGACAGGTACGGTTGCTGGTGCATCTGGAGCAGCGGAAAGCCCCAAATGCCCATCAGCGGCCTGAGCAGGAACAGCAGGAGCACACAAACCAGTTGATACATCTGGAACTGCGAGGTCACTGGAATGCAGCAACGTCTCAGGGACCCGAGCAAGTTTGTCGCTTTTAGGCAGAGCTTGGGAAGCAAGTTTGTCGCTTTTAGGCAGAGCTTGGGAAGCAAGTTTGTCGCTTTTAGGCAGAGCTT